GTCAACGATAAATCAGACATCCTCGCTTTTCAGTAGTACAAGTTAAACGTTAAAGTAGACATGCTATTTTAAAAAAAGCTACCAAGCTTCATGAAGAGAAAATTCCACCGAGATTTTTGTTTTGTTTAACGTAGAATGTTGACTGTTGAATGTTGAAAAATTAACGTTGACTCGTACAACAATTTTTGTTCTTCGAAATAAAATATCGTGAGAAATTATTTAATATTATATAGATTAAACTTATGTGTCCTCAGGTTACTGAAGATAAACACCTCGGGACTTCGACGGCGAGAGATACGCCGTCGATCGGCCAGAAGGCCTTATTGCCCGACCGACGAGATTTTCGTCTCCAGCGTGACCATCTACGAAGCGGCGCCGATCTTGATTCTTCTCATCTTTGGCATGATACTTTCGCTCATTATATTCGGTATCGAGCACGCCGTCTTCTATATAAATTCGAAACAAGGTCCAATCATTAATAAGAATACCAAGGATAAAATGTTGTCAATAGAGAAAAGTAAAGCATCGCTCGATAAGAAAACGAATTTATTGCTGAATAAGAAAAGTAATCTATCGCTGAAGGGCAAAAGACCGCCTAAGAATAATGTCATTCTGGTCCTTCCGCACGCGAGCACTCTTTTCCAAAAGGTATTAATGTCGGACCGATATCAATAAAGAATAATATAGGTGAAATTGTAGACAATAAGTGGATTTTCAATTTTCATGTAAATTATTTACCCGATCATCATTACAAGTATACGTAGTGCGCGAATAAACGTGCTTCACCCTCTTCAGTCACACTTTCGAAAAATGACGTAATAGTCATTCTGGGTGAAATCCACCCCCGCACCTTTGCACTGCAATAAATTATTGTAAAATGCAAAGAAAAAAAAAAAAAATAACTGAGATAAGTTTTGACCCTTTTTTACAAGAGCATGTCTATTATATATAAAAAAATTTAATTTTACATATGCAAAAAAAATGTTGAAAAAAAAACCGTTTTGAAAATGACTTTTTTCACAAAAATCGTTATAACTTTTGTGGCGATTATATCGTCACATGCTTTCCCAAAAAGAGAAAATATTAACCAGAGAAACACGTATACGAATACGGTCAAATAAACATAAATAAAGATAACAGACGAGACGGTAGACGAGAAGCACAGTGACAAACATCGGGACGTAACAGACAAGAAATAAACGAATAGAATCTTTTCGAAGCCTATCGAAGGTGAAATTTTAAGGCGAACGATAGGAAGAGCGGTTACATGCTCGACGAG